GAAGAACAATTTATGAAAAGAATCAAAAATCAGTTTTTTTTTTCAAAAAAATCATATCTTTATGATAAAAAAAGGTACAGACAAATAATAAATAATATTTTGAAAAAAGAAAAATGTGAACTTTAAAAAAAATATATTATATTGATTTATTCCAAAAAGTATAATTATTTGCACAAATGAAGTGAGAAATGATCGGAGGTATGTCGGATATTTTCTACTTAAAAAAAAATGCAATGAAAATGTTTTATATTAAATATAATGATTTCGATTTCGATATTATTTACTCACGATTTTATAACTCCGAGAAAATAAAACAATCGCCAAGACGCCTCTCTCGCAAAAATGCTTTTTCTGACAACGAATATATGTTTTAAGTATAAGAAAATGGCACATATACTTAAATATAGCACTAATAAACAGGCACTTTCTAAAAAGGAATTTTTACTACGAATTTTTATAGAAGCTGTCGAATTTACATTTGACGGGTACAAGTCACTCAAGTCAAACTTTTATTGCATTACAATTAACGTTAAAATAACAACGAAACAATTGCATCACAGCGATTGAAAGAGAGAAAGGTTCCCAGTTTTTTTTCCTCCCCCCCTCCTTCACTTCAACTCTGCAATATTAATCATACAAAAATAGCGATCGATTAAAAGTTTCATTCGGGTCGAAATGACTCACTCATGTAGTTGAGAATTAAATGTTGATTGTTGTTCAGAGTTATGATCTTGATAACTATAAAAATTATATGTTTTTACTTTTAATATAATAATGAGAATAAAAGAAACAACTTTAAAGATTTTGATCTTAACATGTATAATGTTAAGATAACTCTGTGAACAATATTTAAAAGGTTTCAACTATTAGTTGAACATACAGATAATGCTAATACATGAGATACTAAAGTAATTTTCAAATCCCATAGCTCAAAAAGTTCTTAACAAAAAAATATTTGATTGCGATTTTGAAAAGCTCTCGAGATGAATATGAAATAAAAAATTAGGATTTGTCTGAAAAAATTTCACCGAAATTATTCATTATTGGTTTGGAACATTTCAGCGAAATTGTTGAAAATTTGCTGAAATTTCACTGAAAATAAATTTTTTTACTTTCAGTAACATACTAAAAAATCGTTGAAATTAAAATTACTTTAAAATTTCTTTGAAATTTTGCTGAAATTTTGCTGAAATTTTGCTAAAAATAAATTTTTCAGCTAAAAATCGCTAAAATTTTTCTAAAATGCTGCCGAAAAGTGTTCCAAAACGTGAAATAATTTCAATAAAATTTTTTCACCAAGATTCTGGTTAAAAAAAAATTTGTATAATCTGACCTAGACGCTAACCAAGATAAAATTGATAAAATCATTAAATAGATCTTTTTATACCATATAACTTTTGTTTAAAACATTTTTTTTATAAAACTTATATTTTTTGAGATATTCAGGGGTTCCGGTTTTTATACACCCTGTATAATCTGTAGGTATATACATATAAAATTGTATATTATGAACATTGCGGGTAATACATATGAGCATGCTTTATTTCTTATTATTTCTGTGAGTTAATAGTGTCATTTAGTAGTATATCATTTGCTAGGAAAGATGCATCTTCGCAACATGTCCGTATGTGTTACGAGATTTAAATTAAATTTATTTATTTAATCAAATTAAGCCTCCAACGGCATATGAGTCATTCGTATCCATGTCATTTCTAACAGTTCTTAATACTTGCGTAATTTTTATAACTTTTCCAACTTCTTTTTAATATCTAAAGAACATGTGTAAATTTTTACAGACTTTTTAAGCACTTTAAGAGCTTTAAAATTGGATTGAGCACAAATAACCCATGTGTGCCGCTCTAAAGTGATGAAAATAAATATGCCATTGCAGAGTTAAATAAGCAGATACGTTATTTTCTTATTTCTTACGTTTTGCCTTTAATTTCATAAGTTTTTAATCATTGAGATAGAATATCTTGCTCTATATGTCTGTTTTCATAAAATAAACAGTATTAAGCTCATAATCTCATAAATTCCCGAGACCAATATTGGTTTATATTTTTTTAATATGATGCATGATCGTCTATTATGCTCATAAGTCTAATCAACTTCTGCAAATTGAAATTAAGATATAAGTCGTTTTTAGTCGTTATTCCAATTATTGTTTTAAACTTACGACATACAATTTTAATTCAAAAAAAATTAAACATTATACTACAATAGTTAAAAAAGACTTTAATTGTAAAGTATATGTTCAGGTATTATGAGCAGATTTTGATGTTATGTGAACAAATAAATATATGATAATAACCTGATAATTTCATTTTTAGGAGGCCAAAAAACTGCATGTATAAAAAACACGACTTTTTATTTCTGTATTGGGTGGATAATAGGAGTACCCTTCATCATTTTAACATTTGCATTAAAATAATCTATTTCAATATATTGTATATCAAAATACATAAAACATCAACGAACTTATCAAATGATATGAACAAGATTTTCAAATTCTTAGTCTGAAGAGAAATCAAAATGTTTTCTTGAGGTGTTCGTGATAGCCATTCCTTTATACTCTACATACATATTCACGTGCACACATAAAGGCCATCACTTTATTTGTGCGTTTTTGTTGTATGACAAATTTTTCAAGTCTGTTGATTGGCTATAGGATAAAGAGATCCGAGGGCCTTTCTGTTCTGCATACATTTGTCGCACAAATAAAATAGCACTCAAATGCGTACGTGCCTGCATATGTGTGTGTGTGTGTGTGCGTGCGTGTGCGTGTGTGTGTGTGCGTGCGTGTGCGTGCGTGTGTGTGCGTGCGTGTGCATGCGTGTGTGTGCGTGCGTGCGTGCGTGTGTGCGTGTGTGTGTGTGTGTGTGTGTGTGTGTGTGTGTGTGTGTGTGTTTAATAGAATCTTTAATATTTCAATTCGCCAAGAATAAAATATTAATCAATAAAGGAAAAAAGAAGAATAATCAATTTCTCCAAATAATTAAGTAATCATATTTTTAAAGTAGAAACATGGATAATTATGATAAAAAATAAATAAAATTAAACTTAAATAACTTTGTAATTGATTAATTTGAAAAATATTTTTTGTAAATGTTATAGAAATCTTATATCTTAAATGCAAATTAATCAGATAATATAGTCAATTTGAATTAAATATGAAAAAATTGTTAATCTGTAATTTGTCACGATTACCCTATGATCATTGTGACAATATATGGGGAAACTATGACAAAAATAAAGCCAGCTTATAAATAACGATAACCATTAAAGCACAATCTAATAAACATTTCAAAATGTTCATAAATATTTAGTTTCTTTAAAATACTATTATTAATATTTGTCATATACTTATATGAAAAAGAACTGTCTATATTTTCACTATGCTTGGAAACAAAAAAATCATTAAATATCAAAATGAATCAAAATGCATTTTAAAGCTAAAAGTTGATACTTTAATGGCATTAATAAAATTAAGTATAAAAACTAACTGTCAGTGTTGTAATATGTTGGATATCAGCTAAAAATCATCATTTTTTTACTTTCTCTTCGTTATTTTCCAAAAATTGTGACAGGATAGCCAATTTTTTTGTTAACGGTTCGTGATCAGGACGCAAAAATATATTGGAAACAACTATTCATATTCATATTGTAAAATGTTTCAAGGTGTAATGATTGAATTTAATGATTAAAGATTATTGTTGCCTTTAAATTTTAGGAAAAATAATACAGAATACGTATTGATAAAAATATAGAGCTTATTTAAATAATGGAATTAAATTTTTCATGTCTGAATTATTATTATATTATATTTATTATTACAAGTAGATTTTTTTCTAGATATCACTTTTACAAGTAAGTTGAAGGATATTAATACTTTTCATTTAATATTCAAAAAAGAAATATTGAATATAACTTTTGTTGCAGATTATTCTTAATGAAGCACTTATAATTTCTAAATATGATAAGGAACTTATAATTAGTTAATAGTGAAATTATTAAAAAATGAATTTTAAACATAAGTATACAAACTTCCGGAAGTTGTTGACAGCTTTGTTTGTAAACAAAAATTTTGTTTTACAAACACACTTATAATTTTTTACAAATCCATAAAAATTTCTTCTATACAAAGGAGCATTATTTTTTATTTGTTTGGTAAAAATAACCATAAGAGAATGTTAAAAAGGAGAGATTTTTACCCGAAAAGATAAGTAAAAGGAATAGTTATTTTTTGTAAATTTCCTGGATATAAAAATTATTAAAAAGTTCATAATATTTGGAGACCACTTTGAAAATTAGACAATAATATTAAAATTTGGGTAAATACATTATTCCTTCTCAATCTTTGAAGAGTTCCCCAAACTTTTTAATAATTATATCGTACAGATATACAGAAGTCAAAATCTATTAAAAAAAACACTATTCTCTTTATTTACAGCCTTTTGGCAAGAAATTTGGCAGAAATCGACTCTTTTTTAACATCCTCCTTTGTTTTTCATTCAAATATGTCATGATGTCACTCTATTGTCACAATCAACAATAATGATCGTAAATAAAATTTATGTTTATTATGTAATATTTTGTAAATGAAATAGAAACAAAAATTAAAATAAAATTTAGCAATGCTTTTCATTTTTTCCATTTTATCTTTGTAAATTCTGAATTGCTATTTATATAGAAGATTTATGTTACATTTTCTATAATGCAATATAGTTATTATTTAAAGTTGTTTAAATATTTAATGAGCTATTTTAAATATTTGTTTAAAATAGTGAATATTAATTAAAAATATTTTAAAATATTGTCTGACGTTTTTACATTTATAAAAATTGAATTCTTTTAAATCAAATGATTGACTATTTCATTTTTTTTATCCCAATGTAATAAATACGTGATAAATATTGATACGTGTGCTAATAATATATTTACATAAATATTGCATTAACATAATTTAATATTTTTATTAGCATCAGTTAAATTATTTTTACCTGATATAATTGGATCCATTGGAAAAAGACGATTGTAATCCAGCAGCCGTCGGTTACATACAAGGCAATAACTCTGAAGTTGTAATGTTCCGTCTGTTTTCAAAATGCGCTCAAGAGAAAAAGAAGCTAGTTTCGTTAGTAATCCTATCGTCGTTAAGCTTTTTTAAATGCAATTTTAATGTCGTACAGTGTTCACAATCCGTATAATGTACAAAAACAATTTATGCATTATAAACAATTTAATGTAAAAAGTATTATAAATATATAAATAATGTTTGATGATGAAAAAATTTTTTCGTATTTCGGATAGAATTGCAAATTCTATCTAAATTATAAATTCTTATTTGTTAATTATATATACATTAAGAAGATATTTATTAAGAAAGACGGTATTTATAATCGATTATTAATTTTGATAATATAAGTAACACTATTATCTACAAATTTAATGTCAAATTTAATTCAATTAAAAATATATCCTATTTAACATACGATATATATATATACTTACAAATATTTTTTAAATTGCCCACGTAATTTTATGAAAAAGTGTATTATCAAAAAGATTTCAATAAACATATGTTTAATATAAATGTCGTATCTGCAATAAATCCGAAGGAAATCCTAATCATGGTAATTTAGTAATTACTAAGCTACAGAGTATATACGTTATATTAAATAGGAATAATCATTAAGTTTAATTTTTTTATATTATCAAATCTGCAAGTGCAGAATATGTGATAATAATGATGTACAATATCTAATAAAAGATATAACAAAGTACACGAGCATAAAAAAAAACAGATTCGCGAACTGTTATACCGCACCGTCTTGCTTATGTACCACAAATCGTAATATTGGCAGCTGAGTAGACGAAAAAAGCAGCAGGGAGACGGTCAACGGCGCGCAGCTTGCCCTTCGCTGCCTCACTGACTGGAGCGACAGATTTACCAGAGCAGAAATAAGAAAATCCCTCTACCCCTCTTAGAGTATACACAATCCCAGCCGTCTTAGTATAACGTTCTACATATACATATATTCGCACTTATAATAATGTGGTTTACTTATATGTGTATTTAAATGAATCGATTGAATTTAAAGAACGTTCACAAATAAATTAAGTTTTGCTTTTAGTGTGCATTATATGTTCACTATGATATATTTATACGTGTATGTAAAATAATTAAGAAGAAGAAGAAATAGCAGAAAAAAAGAGCAATATAAGAAAGAGTAGAATTTAGCTTGAAAAGACTATAAGTAATTGACTACCGATTGACTGTGGATGTGATTACACAAAATGCATTCTAAACGCTCTTGTGTGCTTAGAGCATATTCACTTACACGTGCGTATAAACATTCGTGCGCACGCTCGACTAAGCACAACTGAACGATAAAGTCGGTGGGTTGAGGGAGGAGGCTGGCTACGTCAAGAGGCGGAGTCTCATTCGCATGGACCATTGACAGCAGCGCACTGTGAGCAAACAAGGTTTACGCCTCTTCACTATGCCTACCTGATTCTAGTCACATTTCGTTTGGTACTAACATAAGCATTTGGCTCGTCAAACTGATGCGTAATAGCACGCACGCGTGTATAAACTATTAGCGCTCTATCTGGAACATCAAATAAAATATACTATAAAGAATAATATAAAGAAACTGCTATAGAAGCATAAATCAAGAATTTAATGTTTTTATATGTTTTTTCTTTGTTCAGTTAAATTGATTGTCTTCAAGGAAATTTTACAACGAAATCATTTTCTTATTAGTTTATATTCATAAAAGCAAAAATTCTGAAATTAAAAGTTTTCATCTATTACAAAAAATAAAAAAATTTTATAATTTAAAAGTAGAGTTCTAATAACATTAAATTTCTAATAACATTAAATTGAATTATAACTTTCTTCTCTAAAATAGAAAAAAAGTGATAAAAAATATCTTTCATTGTTTAATACAATCTGTCATTATGTAATTATACAATATTTTTTAACAATTGACACTAATGCACTTACAAAATGCAAATGAAAATTAATCGAATTATATATACTTTTTTTAGCATAAGTCGCGCGCAGAAGAGAAAGAGAAAGAGAGAAAGAGAGAGAGAGAAAGAGAGAGAGAGAGAGAGAGAGAGAGAGAGAGAGAAAGAGAGAAAGAGCAGCCATATAGCACACATAAATGTTGTTCACATCTCAGAAACGTCGAATTGTAACATTGTAAATATTGCATTAACATCGCTAAATGTAGATTTTACATTGGAAATACATTGAACCTATATCTTGCAGACGTTACATTTCAACATTGATTCAATGTAAATTTTACTGATTTTTCAGTAAAAAATTTTACAATAATTAATCTAGTTTTATTATTAAAGTAAGTATTATTGATTAGCATCATATTTCAGAAAAGACACGACAAAATTATGATTAAAAAATTTCTCCTTAAAATCAAGAATTGATTTCATAATCCTCCAAAGCTCATCAAAAGCTGTGCCACATTCAATGCTGCTTGACCTCTATAATCGTACGGAAACTACTACTTCCACGAATGCTGAATGTTACCAGATGTGTATAGTTGTGACATATTTGGTCAATAGTTATATTATATAATACATAATATTATACATATTTTTATACAATTTTATATGGTTATATAAGAATATGAAAAATTTTTTACCGGGTTAATGTCTATTCAACATTTATTCAATGTTTAAATATTATGTATTATATAATTTACACGAAAAAAATTGAATAAAATAAATGTCCAATATTAATTTCTAATGTATTAGAAAAATCTGACTTAAAAAATAAGATTGATTCTTATTATATAAAATTAATTTTTCTATCTTCCCAAAATATACTATATATTAAATATACAGGGTATTTAATAAGTAACGATAAACTTTCACATAAGAATAGAGTGGATTAAACTAAGTCGAAAAGTCCTTTACCATTTTATAATTTTCGCAATAATTAACGAGAAATTAATTACTAAAAATACGAGGGTAAGTCAATAATATGCTTTTAGAAAAATATAGTAAACACATTTTTTTTGATCGATTCATTTTTATTTTTTAACATAATCTCCTTTGAACTCGATACACTTGATCCAACGATTCTTTAACTTTTTCAATCCGTCCGAATAATATGATTTGTCCAACTCTTCAAAATAAGCCTCTGTTTCGGCGATGAGCTGCTCTCTGGTGGTGAATCTCTTTCCTCCGAACCATTTTTTCAGGTTTGGAAATAGGAAAGTCGCAGGGGGCTAAATCTGGCGAATATGCTGGATGGAGAAGCAATTCGTAGCGGAATTCGTTGAATTTGATCGGAGCCGGACACATGTGAACCCGTGCATTGATCTTGATGGAAGAGCACTTTATTCTTCGCCAAATGGAAACGTTTTTTCTTTAAAATGTTGTTGAAACGGTCCAATAAGGTTGCGTAGTAATCGTCATTGATCGTTTGCTTCGACGGAAATCGATATGAATTATACCGCGTGCATCCCAAAAAACTGTGGCCATCACCTTTCCGGTCGACTTGACGGGCTTCGCCTTTTTCGGAACTGGTTCACTCAGTGAAGTCCATTGTTTTGACTGTTTCTTCGGATGTGAAATAATGGATCCATGTTTCCTCCACAGTAATGAATCGACGCAGAAATTCATCTGGATTGCATTGAAACATCTCCAAACATTGTTTTGAAATCGTCACACGGTCGCGCTTATAGTCCACAATGAATAAACGCGCACCCATCTTGCTGATAACTTTTTTATACTCAATTATTCGTGCAAAATTGAAATCACTGTGCTATGTGATATGCCTGTGGCCTCAACAAGCTCGCGCACTTTCACTCGTCGATCAGTCAAAACAATATCGTGAACTTTATGGATGATTTCTGGCGTAGCACCCTCAATTGGACGTCCCGAACGAGGTGCATCACATGAGGATATACGACCACGTTTAAATTCATTCACCCAATTATATACAGTCGCAAACGCTGGTGCAGATGTGCTATGAACATTATCCAACTTGGCTTTGATTTCTTTCAGCGTTAACCTTCCATATATAGATGTTTGATCACTGCACGAAACTCGTTTTTTTCCATTTTGCAAAAAATACAAAGGTTGTTCGCTTTAATCGACAGAAATGAAACTACGCGATGAATTCCGCTCAAAATTTAACAGCTGAAAGATGCTACTTATCAATGATAAGTATGACATGACACTGCGAGTGCCCTCTGATAGATTTTCTAAAAATTTATTGATTTGCCCTCGCATCGAATATTGGTTTTCAATAATATTTTACTCAGATATTATCAATTTTACAGAAAAAAAGCAAGTGACAAAAATTGCTTGTTTTCTTCTCATAAAGTTCTGAGAATTTTGTCAGATTTTTTTAGTACCGCATTTTCTCATGTTGGTAAAAATAATTGGCAATAAGAAAATGCAGTACTACAAAATTGACAAAATAAAATTCTTAAAAAATTTTTAGAGCTCTATAAGAAGAAAATAAACAATTTTTGTCTGTTGCTGTTTTTCTGTAAGATTAATAGTAACACTAGAAAAATGTCCAATGTTTTTAATCGAAAATAACCGTTCTACTGCTTTTTCCAATCAATTTTGATCGGATTCAGGATTATCCAATGAAGTAACAAACATACATCAGGATTATCCGATGAAATATAATTTCCGATTACATATGAACGGAATATGAACAGTTATATGCCTATTAGTTAAAATTTCATCAAATAAACCTACAACTTGATCTGACGTTAGACTTGAATAGATAAAAAGAGTATTTTATTCAATCAAATTTGATATCCGATCAATTGGAAGACGCTGGCCAATTACAGAATAGTTGGTTAGACATCATTTCATGTGACTCTTTCTATAGGCTCTAGGCTGATGGCATTACTGTTTGATGTTGAGGTTAAGCGAGCATATATCTCTAGCGCGAATATCTATTTGATTTTTATTATTCTTATTCTTGATATATCACGAACATTATAGTCAACATTCGTTCTTATTCTTGATTATAAACTGCAGTATCGAAAAGAAAGTATGTAACGATGAAATTTCTCAGGATAAAAACAGTGCATGAAACTATGAAAGTTGAGAAAAAAGTAATCCACATTCTTAAGTAAGTAAATCTTTTTTTAAATAAAAATTTGCATGTTAAACAATCAATGCTTGTTTATTCAACTATGTATAATTTGATCAGTCAACGTTAGCCGATCAAAAATACATGCGTGCAGGTACTTAATTGGACATAATAGCCGCTCACTGAGCGATTTTATCTGCTGAATGCAGCCAATGTGATCGAAAACTTCGTTCAAAAGGTATCGAACGGATATTTCTCATCGGATAACGTTCTGATGAATTTATTTCCGATTAAATATGATCGGTTTTTTGTCCAATCAAAATAATCGGAAATGATTGTTTGTTACTTTTTGAAGGAAATAATCTGACCATTATGATCGGAAAAACCTGATATTTTTGTCAGTGTACTTAAGTTAAAAATTATTAAAAATCAATATTCGCTGATTTTTAGTAATTGATATCTTGTTAACTATCACGAAAATTGCAAAATACTAAAAAACTTTCGATTTAGTTTAGTCCGCTCTATCTCTATGCGAAGGTTTTATCATTACTTATCAAATACTATAATATATATTGGGTTATTTAAAAAGTATCCGGTTTTTTGTCACTAGATGGTATTGATGGTCATATATCGGACAACAACTAATCCGATTGTGTCAAACGAACGTGCGTCTGAAAGATGACATTTTAGGTTACATTTTGTGTAAACAAAGTTTGGTGAGTCATCAATCGTGTCAAAAGTTATATTGGTTTGAAAATGAGTGAAATTTCTGAAGAAATACGCTATGTGATGCTTTTTTACTACACAAAAGACAAAAACGCAGCACAAACATGCAGAAAAATTTGTGAAGTTTACGGCGCGGATGCTGTAAGTACATCCTAACGCAGGACGCAGGAGTGATTTGTTCGATTTCGTTCTGGAAATTTTGATGTCAAAGATCGACCTCGCTCTGGTCGGCCAGTCACTGAAAAAGTCGATGAAATTTTGCAACTGGTCGAGCAAGACCGGCATGTGAGCTGTCAGGAGATAACCAATGCACTAAGAATCAACTATGTGACAGTTTGGAATCATTTGAAAAAGGCTGGCTACGCAAAAAAAACTCGATGTTTGGGTGCCACATGAATTAACGCAAAGAAATTTGATTGATCGAATTTCCATCAGCGAAACACTACTAAAACGCAACGAAATCGATCCATTTCTGAAGCAAATCATCACAGGCGATGAAAAATGGGTGAAATATAAGAATATCGTTCGTAAAAGATCATGGAGTAAGCGCGGCGAACCATCACAAACGACTTCAAAGCCTGGATTGATGGCAAATAAGGTGATGCTGTGTGTATGG